GGACACTTGAACTATTTCCAGATCTTAGCTATTGTAAATAGTGCTGCTATGAACATGGGGGTACATATATTCTTTCTGATTGGTGTTTCATGCTTCTTAGGGTATATTCCTAGAAGTGGGATCACTGGGTCAAATGGCAATTCAATTTTTAATTGTTTTATGTAACACCATAGTGTTTTCCACAGTGGCTGCACCAGTCTGCATTCCCACTAGTAGTGTACTAGAGTCCCCTTTTCTCCACACCCTCGCCAACATTTGTTTGATTATTTGTTTTTTTGTTTTGCATTTTTATCCTCACCCGAAGGCATTTTTCTATTTTTTGTTCAGATAGAGTGAGAGGGAGGGGGAGAGAGAGAGAGAGAGAGAGAAAGAGAGAGAGAGAGAGATCGACATGAAAGGGACACATTGAGTGGTTGCCACCCACACGACCCATCCAGGGCCAGGACAAACTGCAACTGAGGTATATGCCCTTAGTGAGAACCGAACCTGGGTCTCTCTGGACCGCAGGCCAATGCTCTAACCGCTGAGCAAAACTGGCCAGGGCATTTGATGATTTTTTTTCCTCTCCCAAGGACATTTTCCCATTTTTTTGTTCAGGTAGAGTGGGAGGGAGAGAGAGGAACAGAGAGAGAGAGAGAAACATCGATGTGAAAGGAACACATCGAGTGGCTGCCACCCGCACGACCGACCAGGGCCGGGGACAAACTGCAACCGAGGTACGCGCCCTTAGCGGGAACCGAACCCGGGTCTCTCAGGACCGCAGGTCGATGCTCTAACCGCTGAGCCAAACCTGCCAGGGCGCATTTGATGATTTTTTTATGGCACCCATTCTGACAGATGTGAGGTGATACCTCACTGTTGTTTTAATTAGCATCTCTCTGATGATTAGTGATGTTGAGCATTTCTTCATATGTCTCTTGGCCATTTGTATGTCCTGTTTGGAGAGGTGTCTATTCAGCTCCTCTGCCCATTTTTTAATTGGGTTATTTGTCTTCCTTTTGTTGAGTTGTATGAGTACTCTATATATTTTGGAAATTAACCCCTTATCTGATGTATCACTGGCAATGATGCTCTCCCATACAGTGGGTTGCCTTTCCATTTTGGTGGTTGTTTCTTTTGCTGTGCAGAAGCTTTTGAGTTTGATGTAGTCCCATGTGTTCATTTTCTCCTTTGTTTCTGTTGCCTTAGGTGATGTATCAGTGAAAATTCTGCTGCGTGGGATGTCCAAAATTTTGTTGCCTACATTTTCTTCTAGGACTTTTATGGATTCACAGGTCACATTTAAGTCTTTTATCCATTTTGAGTTTATTTTTGTGTACAGCGTAAGTTGATGGTCTAGTTTTATTTTTTGGCATGTAGCTGTCCAATTCTCCCAAAACCATTTATTAAAGAGGCTGTCTTTAATCCATTGTATGCTCTTGCCTTTGTCAAACATTAATTGAGCATAATGTCTTGGATCCATTTCTGAGTTCTCTGTTCTGTTCCACTGGTCTATATGCCTGTTCTTGTGCCAGAACCAGGCTGTTTTGATTACAGTAGCTTTGTAGTATAACCTGATATCTGGTATTGTGATCCCACCTACTTTGTGCTTCTTTCTCAAGATTGCTGTGACTACTTGGGGACTTTTTGGCTCCATATGAACTTTTGAAGTATTTGTTCTAGTTCTGTGAAATATGTCGTTGGTATTTTGACGGGGATTGCATTGAATCTATAAATTGCTTTGGGTAATATGGACATTTTAATTATGTTAATTCTTCCAATCCATGAACAAGGTATGTGCTTCCACTCTTTTATATCTTCTTTTATTTCTTTTTTCAATGTCCTGTAGTATTCTGCAAATAGGTCTTTTACTTCTTTGGTTAAGTTTATTCCTAGGTATCTTAATTTTTTTTTTTCCATGATTGTAAATGGGATTGTTTTATCGGTTTCTCTTTCTGTGAGTTCATCATTGGTGTATAAGAATAGCATCAATTTCTTGACATTAATTTTGTATCCTGCTATTTTGCCAAATTTGTTTAAGTCTAGCAGATTTTTAATGGAATCTTTAGGGTTTTCTATGTATAATATCATGTCATCTGCCAATAATGACAGTTTCACTTCCTCCTTTCCAATTTGGATCCCTTTTATTTTTTTCTTCATGTCTGATTGCTGTGGCTAAGACTTCCAGTACTATGTTATAAGAGTGGCAAACGTGGGCATCCCTGTCTTGTTCCTGTTCTTAAGGGAAATGCTTTTAGTTTCTGCCCATTGAGTATGATGTTGGCTGTAGGTCTTTCATATATGGCTTTTATTATGTCAAGATATGATCCCTCTATTCCCACATTGCTGAGCGTTTCTATCACAAATGGTTGCTGGATTTTGTGGAATGCTATTGATACGATCAAGTGGTTTTTATTCTTCATTTTATTTATGTGCAAATATTGTACCAGCCTTGCATCCCTGAGATGAATCCTACTTGGTCATGGTGAATAATTTTTTTGATGTATTGCTGGAACCGATTTGCTAGTAGTTTGTTCAGGATTTTGGCGTCTATGTTCATCAGGGATATTGGCCTATAGTTTTCTTTCTTTGTAGAGTCTTTTTCTGGTTTTGGAATTAGAATTATGCTGGCCTCATAAAACAAGTTTGGAAGTCTTTCTCCTTTTTGAATTTTTTAAAATAGTTTGAGGAGAATGGGTGTTAGTTCTTTTTTGAATGTTTAGTAAAACTCCCCCGTGAAGCCATCCAGGCCTGGGCTTTTATTTGCTGGGAGAGTCTTGATTACCTCTTCAATTTTCTTAGTTTTTATTGATCTGTTCAAGTTTTCTATCTCTTCCTGGTCCAGTTTTGGGAGACTGTGTGTTTCTAGAAATCTGTCCATTTTGCTTAGATTGTCGAATTTGTTGTCGTATGTTCATAGTGGTTGTTAACGATCTTTTGTATTTCTATGGTGTCAGTTGTTACTTCTCCTCTTTCATTTCTGATTTTGTGTATTTGGGTTCTCTCTCTTCGTTTCTTGGTGAGTCTAGCTAAGGGTCCATCAATCTTGTTTATCTTTTCAAAGAACCAGCTCTTTGTTTCATTGATCCTTTGAATTGTTTTTTGTTTGTTTTTGTTTTTTGTGTGTGTGTTTTTGTCTCTATGTCATTTATTTCTGCTCTAATCTTTACTATTTCCTTCCTTCTACTTGCTCTGGGTTTTTCTTTTTGTTTGCTTTCTAGTTCTTTAAGTTGTGAGGTTAGTCTATTAGAAATTTTTCTTGTTTCTTGAGGTAGGCTTGTAGTGCTATGAACTTCCCTCAGATCTGCTTTCACTGCATCGCAAAGATTTTGTGTTGCTGTGTTTTCATTTTCCTTGGTTTCCAGGAAGTTTTTAATTTCTTCCTTGATCTCCTTGGTAACCCATTCATTGTTTATATAGGTAGCCCTGACTTCCCCCTGAGACTTATATATCCAACTTGTCTACTTGAAATCTATACTTGGAGAGATCTCTACCTCCAATCTAATGTGTTCAACATAGAACTTTATATTTTCCTTCCTAAACCTGCTCCATCCACTATTTCCCTTTCTCAGTTGAGGGCAACACCATTCTTGTGGTTGCTCAGGCCAAAAATCTTGGAGTCATCCTTCATTTCTTCCCCTCACCTTCTGCATCCAATGAAAACAAGCTCTATCAGTTATAACTACTGAATTTGCCCAACTTTCTCTGGCTCCATCACATCTATCCATCCCCTCCACTCCATGTCCACCATACACTAAGCCACTAACATCCCTCACCTTGCTTACTGCAGGAACTTTCAAACTGGTCCACCTACTTCAGCTCTGACCCAGTCTCCACACCCCCACTGCAGCCAGGGTGGTCTTTTAAAACATCAAGTTTTTTGCTCAAAATTCTCCAGTGATTTCCTGTGGAACTTAGAATAAAATTCAAACTCTTTACCACAATCAAAAAGCACCTTCCTGCCATGGCTCCTAACCACCACCTGTCTACCCCCTCTCCTGCTATTCCTCTCCACCCCAGCCTTCTTCCTGTGGGACTGCACAGAGTTTTGAACCTCAACTCAGTCTTCCCATTTGCCCCCTAGGACCAGAACTCCCCCTGGGTGGCTCCTCCCATTCATTCAGATCACCTTCTCAAAAAGACCTTTTCTGACCACCTTGTCTAATGTCACCAACTCCCAAACCCACCCCTTTACTCTCCAGTGCAATGTGCCACTTTATTTCTTCATAGTACATATGAATAAATTTTACTTGCTTATTCTGTCTCTCCCTTTAAGCCATGAGAGCAGGGACCTTGTCTGCCTTATGAATTGTATCCCTAGTGTCTGAAGAGCACCTGGCACGTGATAGGGTTTCATTAAATATTGGCTGAATTTGATTTGGGTTCAAAAGAGACACCTGGCACTGACCATGCAAGAAAAGCATCCTCTTGGATGCCTTCATGCCACCAAATGCAGGCAAGGCAGACAGACTTCATTTAAATCAGAAGTTAGCTAAGCTTTCAAGCCATTTACTCAGCCACTGTCTTACTTCTTATATCTCTACACTGTAGAAATTGCTGCCTCAGCCTGCCCAGCCCATTCCCAGCTTCAAACTGCGCAGGACTCTAGCTGCCTGGAGATCATCCAGGTGGTGGCAACAGATGCCCTCCTCCCTCATGGTATTTTATCTTCTTTCCAATGAAAGTATTACATAAGCACTAAAAGAAATTGGAAATTACAGAAAAGTATGACAAAATGGAGAAAAGCACTCATAATCTTCACACTTTTAGCATATTGGGATATTCTCTTATTCTCTTGTCAATGTATTTCTTATTTTTTATATTTTTTTTAAATTCTAATATGGCCATAAACATTTATTTTCAAATATAGATATTTGTTTATATTTTTTTAATTTTCTCCAGGATAGTAACCCATGTTGATACAGGTCTGCATATAGTCCTGAGAAAGCCAGGTGGAGCCAAATGAAAACCTTTAAAAGAATTGAAAAAAAACCATAAAAATTATCCCATGTAATTCACAAAACAATACCAAACAATGACATAGCATCCCCTATTTTTTTATAGAAGTACACAAGTGTAAAAAATGCATGACTATTAAACACCTGTCTGTCCTGCTAAACCATAAGCTCATGAATACAGGACCCTGTTCATCTTACTCAAAGTACCTGGCAGGGATTAGGTGCTGAGTAATTCCTAGACAGAGAGGTAACCAATATACCAGTGAGAATTGGAAAGGTAAAGAGAAAAGTGGAAAACTGTTGAATACCAATTCTCCAAACACCAACCCACCTCCCAACACCCCAACTTCACACCTGGCAGCAGAACTCAGACCCATGTCAGTTCCATTTATTCTTCATACAAATATTTTACAGTTTTATTTTAAAATCATTTACACATATTCATACAAAGAAAAATAAATTTCAGGATGGAACCTTGAGACCATGGTAAATTTAAAAACAAAATCTCTCTGATCATTAGCTACTGAAGACAAGACAAGAGGCTCAGCAGTCATTTCTGGGGGTTAGTGTAGCTCCCAAGAAGGGCACAGCTCAGAAGAATCCAAGCTGCTCCCTCATCTTCCCTCTATCCTCACCTTGAGGAGGTACTACAGGGGAAAAGAATTTTTTGACACTCTCCCCTAGAAATATTTTAAGACATATAGCAAAGACCTAAGGTAACAGTGAATCCCCTCTTTGCTAGGAATTTGGCAAGATGGCAATTTCTGAGCCAACATTCTAGAAGAGCTACTCACTCAATTCATAGTCACAGGTCTAAGAGGAGGGACTGCTGCACTCACCACATCCCTGGTCCTGCTGCTCTGTCCTCCCACCAAAGGCCATAGAACAGAGACCTTGATCTGACCCCATCTGGTCCCTTCTAGGCTAATTCCACAAATGAGGCATCCTGCTACCCAACATCCAAACACTCTGTGCAGCAATTGACCCTGGCAGCTCTTGAGGACCCCTAGATAGCGATGCCAGCATTACTGGTGTACAGCATCATACCCAGGGAATCCAAGCGACCACCAGAAGAGGTCCAAGAATGACAGAACTAAGAGCACCCCTACCAAAACTCGGCTCGGTTGAGCCAAATCAACATTTAAATCTAACAGGCCAATTCCTGCCATCCCATCCTAGATATAGTCATCACAGCAGTGCACGGTAGAAGAACATTCTACACATAATTGCCCAAGGAAGCTGTATGTGCTATTATCAATTCCAAGTAAAAGAGGAGGTGGTGGGAGACAAACATTACAAATATGGTAGACCCTATCAGAAATGGCAGCTGATAACAACAGTTACCCTATTACCTCTGGGTCCTACCCAAAAAGCAGCACCAAGAAAGGGCATGATGAGCAGAGAGATCTGTAGCTGGATGTGCAGCCCTTGAATTACCAAGGGACTCAGATATAACACAGCTCATTTTCCTACAATTATGCAGGAACTAGAACAAAGACTACCCACCCCTACATTGAGGCCACTCCTGAGAGGCCATACCGCTTATGATCATCAGCCCAACCCCTTGGTAGGCCCATTTGGGGAGAGGGAGTCACATCCAGAGCGGGGACCCCTCCAAGCAGACACTCACAGGGCAGCCCATCCCACTGTCACTGAGGCAGGCCAAACATAGCTAAGAGGGTGGACAGATCCCGGGCATCAGCTGCCCCATAGGCATCGCTCTGGCCTAACATAGACAATGCCAAACGCAAGGTGCTCCAGATGTTCTCTGACATGGCACCCCCTTCACCCCGAGGGCCCCGGCTTTTCCTCTGCATGTTCAAGGCCTCCAAAAAGTGTTCCACAGCCTCCCTGTAGGGAACAAGAATGAGAACTAGTGAGCAGAATAGCAAGGAAGGAGGTAGGTCAGCTGGTACAGGGAGAAAGAACACTGGGGCTGATTAATCAAATAACAGGAGCTAGGGCCAAAGGCAGGGAGAAAAAATTCATTCATTCATAACTCAATAGATACTCTCACCGGTGAGCCCCAAGGTTGATGCAGCTGATTCCCAGGTTATAGCGGGACCGTATATAGCCTGGCTGTAGCTCGAGAGCCCGACGGTATGCAGCTACTGCTTCTTCACTCTGGTTTCCATTGGCCAGGGTGGCCCCTAGCTTATTCCACAGCAGATAGTCCTGGGATAGGGATGGAGAGGGGTTAGGAACATAAGCCAGGCTCAGATCATATTCTGCCCACTCCTCTCCCTGGTTCACCAATCTGTTTAGCTAATATATGTTACAATCCCATTCCTTCCTCAACAGATCATTGTGTGGCTCAATATAACCACTCTCACCATATAGACTTCCTTAAGTTCAGATAACCCTACATACCAACCCTTCTCTATGCCCAATTCTCACAAGGTAATCTGTACACAGAAAATGGAATGAAATATCCTCATGACTCTCAATAAATGAAAAAGGTCCCAATAAATGATTCTTCCATAAGATAACAGAGTTACATCTTATATCCATTCCTCCCCTGAGACTCACATTGGGACGAACACTGAGAGCAGCTGTGAAACAGTCCACTGCCTTGTCATACTCCCCACTCAGGTTGAAAAGGACCCCCAACCCACACTGCACATCAGGGTCAATGGATGTAGGGTCCAGGCGCACAGCTGCCAAGAAGAGCTCTTTCACTTCAAGAAATAGGGAGCTAGAAAAGAGAAAAATATGGATGAATATGTCTATATTCCTACCCCTCCAAAATACTTCCTTAATTAGTCACTCATATCCCAGAGATTCATCCATCTATCAGCCATCCCTCCTACTCTACTCCCAAATTCCAATTTACAAACCTGTTTTTCTGTCCCCTCCCAGCATCATACTGTAGAATGCAGACCTCATTCAAGTAGACCCTGGGTCTCCTATCCCACTCTTAGATCCTTCGAAGCATCTCAATCTATCCCAACATCCAAAATCAAGGTTCTCCTCCTAATCAGGTTACCATTTTCACCCCAGGAACTCCTCACTCACTCAGACAACAGAGATCCCAGGATGCGCTTGCTGGGGCCCAGTCCTGCGCCACTGGCCCCTTCTTCCCCAGGCACCACCAGATGGGCATAGGCTGGTGTGTAGCGCAGCCAGTCTCGCAGGGTTTCACAGGCCTGTCGCTGCAGAGACTCATTGGTGAAGCTCACAGCCAGCGCCATCAGTGCTGTCCGGTTATCTGGCTTGAGCTCCAGACACCTGTTTGGACAGAGACGGGCAGAGCTGGTACTGCTGTGACACTGGCACCCATCAGCACCCTGGGATCCAAGCCAAGCTTTGGAATGCAGTCACGATGGCCTCACCTGCCAACTCCCTCATATTAAGATACAGAGGAATCCTCGACATGTAAGTTATTAATAAAGTTACAGATCTGAGAAAGGGAACATTTTAGCAGCCAAGGAACCAGCCAGGGTCCCACAAATAAAACCAAAAGCTGTTGAAGGAATGGAACCAGTTATCTCCAATTCACTCCAAACCTCAGTTTCAATCATGAGACACACTCTTGTTAGTGTAGTGGCCAGAAAGAAGACAAGGATCTGGATCTGGGCTCTTATCATCCTAAAGGCTATTTGGAGAGCCCTGGAACCACCTCACCCCACCTTGCAGTGTACTCACTTCCGCAGCGCGCTGATGGCTAATAGTTCCTGTTCATTCTCTGCCTGGGTGGTACCCAGATACTGCCAAGCCTAGAGAGAAGTCGACAGATTCCATCACCCCTGTATTCACCTTTCCATGCTCCCTTCCTCTGGCTCCCCTCCACTCACAATCTCACTTGCACCCCCCACCACAGGCCATCACACAGGGCCTAATCCCTCTGTACTATTTTTTGGGGCCTCCCTCAAAACTGGAGGAAGCAGTCTCTAACTTCAGGTCAGACTAATGAGTCACTCACCTCCATGTGCTTAGGATCCTGCTGCACAGCCGCCTCAAAAAGTAACACAGCATTCGGCAGGTCCCCGTCCTGAAGTCGCCGCAGCCCTTCCTCGAAAGGCTGCGGGTGGTCACGCAGGGGGTTCTCCTCCTCGAACTGGTACCCCTGCAAGGAAGAGAAGCCAAGTGAGAAACCATATGAGAAGGAGCCATCACAAAGCAATATGGAAAGGAAGTGACAACCAAGACAGAGGTGAAGAAGTTGAAGGCCTCCAAAAAGGTATCTGAATAAATGCTAGAAAATTTTCCATATTAATAAGGAGATTACCTATGACTATAATAAAATCATTCCATTTTGTGCCCACACTTCTATCTCCTGTTCACAATAACTGGAAAGCTAGGCTAGTCTACGAAGTCTGATCCATGCCAGGAATAAGCTTATTTTAGGAACCCTTTATAGGCCTGGATTTCCACATCCTTGACTTCTCACCACTGAACAGAACACATGTTTTACCAGGATTTGTTTACAGTAATGAGATAAGCTCTTCTTAGCTATTCAAAGGACAATTCTCATTATCCTGCAATAATGTGATAATGTATGAAGGAAAGGCAATTTGGAGTCAGAGACACTGCTATTCAAATGCAACTCTTACCTAGTTCATGGAGTCATCGTGGGCAATGACGAGATAGCATGTGTTGAAGCACTTGGAAAATTTTAATATGTTCCCCAATTTCATTCTTAAAAGTTATTAATATTAATCTATATCTGATAGTAAATGAAAGCTAGATCCTAAAATCCTGAGGGTAGAAATTTATCAGAAAGACACAGTTCCCTTCTAGTTGAAGAGTTCTCATTTGAGGGAAGAGTTATGATACTCTGTGCAAAGTTTTGTCTAGTGGTGTTTCATGTTTGGCAAAGCGGTAAAAAGGTAAAATGATAGTCAATAATGAGCCATATGACTTGGAACAAGCAAATAAAATGTTCCTTCTTGGAGATTAAATGGTTACCATCACAAAACAATATACCAGAATGACAACAAGATGCAAAATACCAGGTAGGGCCCTTCTACACGTAGTTAAGGACAAATGAGAATGCAAGTATACATAACAAACATATAAGTAAGGCCTTTTACACCATTATTGTAAAACTGTTTAAGAATCAGAAATACTTAAATCTTACCAAAAAGTTCTAAACCATTAACATCATCAGATGCAAATTATTTGTGACAAATAAAATTAAATAATTACAATAGAGGTTTAAGAAGCAAGATATAACTTCTGGTCAAGATGGCAGCTTAGGTAAACGTGGTACTCACCTCCTCCCACAACCACATCAAAATTACAACTAAATTACAGAACAACCATCATTCAGAACCATCTAAAATCGAGTTGAATGGAAATCTTACAACCAGAGATTTAAAAAAGTCACAGCGAGACTGGTAGGAGGGGCGGAGGGGCGGATGGGCTGGTCCCACACCCACGTGTGGCGGATAAAAATCAGGAGAAACACCTCGGCTATAAAAGTCCTTGCTGAGGAGCGAGGGGTCTCTGTCCCACACCGGGCGCCCGGCTCAGGGTTGCAGTACTAGGAAGAGAGGTCCCCATAACTTTGGCTGTAAAAACCAGTAGAAACTAAGGCTGAGGGAGGCTGAGGCTTCTACAGCCCCAAGCAGCTCCTCTTAAAGGGCCCACGCATGGACTTACTCAGACTCGCTCCTTCTGGACTCCAGCACTGGGGAGGCAGCTTGAAAGGCACCAAAGTCATATGGGGAAGAACTGAGTTGTTTGGCACTGGGGCGAGGGCTGGAGGGGCAGCTTTCTCCTGGACATACTTGCTGTTGTTGGCCATTGTTCCTTCAACCCTTCCATCAGCTCTTCCCCCCGGTTGGCAGATGGCCACCATATCTGGGACTCCAGCAACCAGGCTCACACTGTTAGTCCTACCTTGGTGATTCCCTGAGGTTCTGCCCGACCCAACTTTCAGGCCCACCCAAGCTATTTCCAATGGCTTTATCACAGGATTGGCCTGTCTTGGATCCTGCTTCAGATTTTCCTAAATTCTTTCAGATAAGCAGCATCTGGTCTCAGTGAGACCCATACCTCTCGCTAAGTGACCCCAGGCCTGGCATTAGAAGCAGCCAAACTTGGTTCACAACTTGGCTTTGCCTGGGCACCTCCAAGCCCAGCACAAGAAGGTGCCACCTGAAGATCACTTTATACTTATGCTAGGTGGCCCCAGGTAAAACACAGGCAGTGGCTCACCCTGCCCCACAGCTGATCCTCCAAGGTAATCAGAGGCCAGTGGTCAGTGGGCACAGCCAGTCCTTGCAGCTGATCAGCCTGAGTAAATCCCTCCTACTGATGTGCCAACAGCAATCAAGACTCAATTACAACAGAAGGGTATACAGTCCACACCAGGAGTGCAACTCGAGGGCCCAGCTGGGGTGACCAGGAAGTCTGTGCCACTGGACCCTACAGGACACCTACTACAATAGGCCACCCTACAAAGCCTAGGAGACATAGCAACTCTACCTAATACATAGAAACAATCACAGGGAAGCAGCCAAAATGAGGAGACAAAGAAACATGTCCCGAGTGAAAGAACAGAACAAAATTCCAGGAAAAAAACTAAACAAAATGGAGATAAGCAATCAGACGCAGAGTTCAAAACACTGGTTTTAAGGATGCTCAAAGAACTTAGTGAGAACTTCAAGGAACTTAGTGAGACCTTCAAAGAACTTAAGGAGAACTCTAAGGAACATCAACAACATGAAAAAGGACCAGACAGAAATGAAGAATACTCTAACTGAAATAAAGAATAATTTACAGGGAATCAATAGTAAAGTAGGTGATGCCAAGAAGCAAACCATCAAATGGGAATATAAGGAATCAAAAAAACACCCAGTCAGAACAGCAAAAAGAAAAAAGAATCCAAACAAATGAGGAGAGTGGACTTCCGGTCAAGATGTCGGTGTAGGTAAACGCAGTATCGCGTCCTCCCACAACCACATCAAAGTTACAACTAAACTACAGAACCATCATTCAAAACCGCCTGAAATCAAGCTGCATGGAAGTCCTACAACTATGGAATTAAAGCAGCAGCCACATCCAGACTAGTAGGAGGGGCGGAGGCACAAGGGGCAGAGGCACCACGGGCTGGTCCCACACCCACCTGTGGCAGATAAAAATCAGGAGGATACTTCAGCTGGGAAGGCCCTCCCTGAGGACTGAGGGGGTCCCTGTCCCACACCAGGTGCCCCGCTCAGGGTTCCAGTGCCAGGAAGAGTAGTCCACATAACTTCTGGCTGGAAAAACGAGTGGGAACTAAGGCTCAGGGAAGCTGATGCAGCTGGAGCCCCAGGCAGCTCCTTAAAGGGCCCGCGCATGGACTTATCGGACTCACTCCTCTAAGTTTGGAGGGGAGGCAGCTTGAGAGGCAGCTTGAGAGGCAGCTCGAGAGGCACCAGAGACACACAGGGAAGAAGTGAGCTGTTTGGCACTGGAGCGAGGGCTGGAGAGGGGCTTCTCTCCAGGACAAACATGCTGTCAGAGGCCTTTGTTCCTTTGGTGATCCCTTCCGTGGGGCGGCAGAGAGCCGCCTTATCTGGGACTCCAGCAACCTGGCTCACACTGGTAGCCCCGCCCTGGTGATTCCCTGAGGCCCCGCCCCACCACACCCAACTTTCAGGCCTGCCCAAGCTGTTGCCACTTGCTTAACCATAGGATTGGCCTGTCTTGGATCCTGCTTCAGGTTCCTAAATTCTTTCAAACAAGCAGCATCTGGTCTCAGAATGCCCCATACCGTTCTTTAAGTAATACACAGAAACAAACACAGGGAGGCAGCCAAAATGAGGAGACAAAGAAACAGGTCCCAAATGAAAGAACAGAACAAAACCCCAAGAAAAGAACTAAGCAACCTAACAGATGCTGGGTTCAAAATACTGCTTATAAGGATGCTCAACAAACTTAGTGAGAACCTCAGTGAACTTAGTGAGGGCCTCAAGAGCATAAAAAAGGACCAGTCAGAAATGATGGATGCACAGTCAGAAATGAAGGAGGCATTAAGTGAAATAAAGAATAATTTACACAGATTCAATAGTAGAGTACATAAATCCAAGAAGCAAACCATTGATTTGGAATATAAGAAAGCAAAAACACCCAATCAGAACAGCAAAAAAGAAAAAAGAATCCAAAAAAATGAGGATAGTGTAAGGAGCCTCTGGAACAACTTCAAGCGTGCCAACATTCGCATCTTGGGGGTGCCAGAAGGAGAAGAGCGAGAACAAGAAATTGAAAACCTGTTTGAAACAATAATGGCAGAAAACTTTCCTAACTTGGTGAAGGAAACAGACATACAAGTCCAGGAAACACAGAGAGTCCCAAACAAGATGAACCCCAAGAGACCCACACCAAGACACATCATCATCAAAATGCAAAAGGTTAAAGACAAAGAGAGACTCTTAAAAGCAGCAAGAGAAAGGCAGCTAGTTACCTACAAGGGAGTTCCCATAAGGCTGTCAGATGATTTCTCATAAGAAACTTTGCAGGCCACAAGGGAGTGGCAAGAAATATTCAGAGTGATGAAAAGCAAGAACCTACAACCAAGAATACTCTATCCTGAAAAGCTGTCATTTAGAATCGATGGCCATATAAAGACTTTCCCAGACAAGAAAAAGCTAAAGGAGTTCATCACCACCAAACCGTTATTGTATAAAATGATGAAGGGTCTTTTTGAAGAAAAAGATAAAATATATGAACAAACAAAATGGCAATGAATACATATCTATCAAGAGTGGAATCTACAGACAAAATGAACAGGCAGAACAGAAACATTCTCATAGATACAGAGAACATTCTGTTGGTTGCCAGATGGGAGGGGGGTTGGGGGAATGGGGGAAAAAGGTGAAGGGATTAAGCAGTACAAATTCATTGCTAGACTGACAAACCTCAAAGGGAAAGGGGTTGGGGGGTGGGAAGAGATAAACCAAAGAATTTATATGCATAACCAATGGACACAGACAATAATGTGGGGAAAGGCGGGAGGGGGCGGGAATGGGGAGGAGGGGGTCAATGGGGGAAAAATAAGGAATATCTGTAATACATTCAACAATAAAGATTTTAAAAAATAATTTTAAAAAAATGAGGAGAGTGTAAGGATAGTGTCCTCTGGGACAACTTCAAGCACAGCAATACTCACATCATGGGGGTGCCAGAAGGAGAAGAGAGAAAGCAAGAAACTGAAAACCTGTTTGAAACAATAATGACAGAAAACTTCCCTAACTTGGTGAAAGAAACAGACATACAAGTCCAGGGAGCACAGAGAGTCTCAAACAAGATGAGCCCAAAGGGTCCACACCAGGACACATCATCATCAAAATGCCAAAGGTTCAAGACAAAGAGAGAATCTTAAAAGCAGCAAGAGAAAAGCAGTTTGTTACCTACAAAGGAGCTCCCATAAGACTGTCAGCCAATTTCTCAAAAGAAACTTTGCAGGCCAGAAGGGAGTGGCAAGAGATATTCAAGGTGATGAAAAGCAAGAACCTACAACCAAGATTACTCTATCCTGCAAAGCTATCATTTAGAATCGATGAACATATAAAGAGTTTCCCAGACAAGAAAAAGCTAAAGGAGTTCACCACCACCAAACCACTATTATATGAAATGTTGAAGGGTCATCTTGAAGAAGAAGAAAAATATGAATAATAAAATGGCAATTAATACATATCTATCAACAATTGAATCTACGAACAAAATGAGCAAGCAGAACAAAACAGACTCCTAGATACAGAGAACTTTTTGTTGCTTGCCAGATGGGAGAGGAATGGGTGAAAAGGATGAAGAAATTAAGAAGTACAAATTGGTTGTTAGACTGATGAACCTCAAAGGGAAAGGGGGAGGAAAGGGGAAAGGAGATAAACCAAAGAACTTCTATGCATATATGCATAACCAATGGACACAGTTTGGGGAAGGCAGGAGGGTGTGAGATTGGGGAGGGGGGATCAATGGGGGAAATAACGGGGGACATCTGTAATACATTCAACAATAAAGATAAGTTAAAAAAAAAGAAGAAGAAGAAGAAAGACATAGGCCTGGCCAGTGTGGCTCAGTGGACTGGGTGTTGTCCCATGGACTGAGAGGTCCCGGTTTGATTCCCGGTCAGGGCATATGCCCAGGTTTCGAGCTCGATCCCCAGTAGGGAGCCTGCAGGAGGCAGTCAATTGATGTTTCTATCTTTCTCCCCTTCTCCCTTCCTCTCTAAAAAAAAAAAAAAGTCAATAAAAATGTATTTTTTAAAAAAAGAAGCAAGATATATACAAGATGGATTTGGGGTAAATGTATGAAAAGCATATTCATGTCAATAATAGGTAATGTTCCTGAGACATCTCTGTACAATAAGAAATCGCAGAAGGTAGAAAATGACCCTATACCAGGCATCAACAAGCCTTTTCTGTAAAGGGCCAGGTAATATTTTCTCACAACTACTCAACTCCACCATTGTAGTGAGAAAGTAGCCACAGATGTATTTAAATAATTAAGCGTGGATTATATAATTTTCATATGTCACAAAATATTACTACTTTCCATTTTTTTCAACCACTTAAAAATGTTAAAACATTCTCAGTTCACAGGCCATATAAAAGAGGTGGCAGGTCAGATTTAACAGTGGGTCATAGTTTGCCGACGCCCACTTTAGACTATTAAAGTTCCAACAAAATAAATCCTTCTGTATTCATCCTCAACTATTGTCCATCACCAGTCCATGTCTTAAACCAGCCAGTAGGAAACAGTGATCATTGTCATCTAAACACAATTTCCCAATAAAAGAAACTCCTACCTCTCAGAGCTACTGAAAGCATCAAGTGAGAATATTCACCAAAGCCTTACCAAAAAGCTTAAAATACTATTCCTAAATAGGTATTATCCTCAGCAGACAATGCAAGTCAGTGCCATCATGTAGCAACCACAGGGTTCTCCAAGTATCCTCCTGTTTATGCTATCTATCCTCCTTGAGATTTTATCAAATGCTAATCAAAGAGAATTTTTTTTAATTAGAATATTGGCTTAGATCAAAGAAAGAGTACTCTAGAGCTATCTTCAACACTACTGCATACCAAAAAGTCTAATTCAAGTCAATCATTGGGTCTGATGATTTTCTGGTCTATTCAAAAATCTCATAGAATCACACTGCAAAAATAGGATGACTACTAAGAGTGTATCCCCTAGCCAGTACGGCTCAGTGGTAGAGCATCAGCCAGCAGACTAATGAGTCACGGGTTTGATTCCAGCCAAGGGCACATACCTCGGCTGCAGTTCATTCCTGGCCCTGGTCCGGGTCATGCATGAAGCAACCAATCAATGTGTCTCTCTCATGTTGATGTTTCTCTCTCTCTCCCTCCCACTCTATCTGAAGACAAACAGAAAAATATCCTCAGGTGAAGATTAAAAAGAAGAAGAAGAATGTATCCCATCACACAAACTTCTCCTTTCTGCTAATAGTATACAATATCTGCTTGAGCTATATATAGGTGTTGTCTTAAAAAATTAAAGGACCATCAATAAAAATTAGTACATTCAGAGACCCATGAGTTTACCTGACAATCAGAGACAGATCCACATTTGGAAAAAAAAAGAACTGACATATTTCAGTAACAAAGCCAGATAAAACCAGGATTGTTCATTATTAGTGAGTAATCAAGTAAAGCATATTTTTGTAAACATCAATGCAAATGTTTCGAATGCTAATTTTGCAGTATCCCAAGGTATCAACATCATCAAATGGGGTTCAAGAATCTAGTTTTTAAGTTTTTAATTTAAAATTTTATTCTGCCTAGCATATTATTAATACGAGTAAAAAAAATGCTAGGAGAAAATGCTGCTTATATGAAACTAGTGCTATGTCTATATCAAAAGCATGGGAAATTTTGTCTAAAACTTTATAACTTGACATTTAAAAGTGAACAGGGCCTATGCAACTTATCAAATTGTTAATACAAATTAATAAAAGTAATAACCTCTAGCCCTGGCCGGTTTGGCTCAGCGGTTAGAGCATCAGCCTGCAGTCCAGAGAGACCGGAGTTCAGTTCCCACTAAGGGCGCATACCTCGGTTGCAGTTTGTCCCCGACCCTGGTTGGTCGTGCAAGTGGCAGCCACTCGATGTGTCCCTTTCACGTCGATGTTTCTCTCTTTCTCTCTCTCCCTTCCACTCTCTCCCTTCCACTCTATCTGAACAAAAAATGGAAAAATGTCCTTGGGTGAGGATAAAAAAAATAGTAATACCTCCAGGTATTTCCTAAAGTTCTCCTTCATCAGAAAGCTGTAGAAGAATATCTTATTATGGTAAAACATAGGGCAGGGTTTCAAAAAATAAACTCTCTTTTCCATTATATTACTGGATAGCTCTCAAGAAATTGGACTGAGATAATAAACAAACTCATATTTCTCTTAGTACTAACTTTTTCATTGGCTTTTTAAAGTTATCCTTGCCTTTTTAAAGTTATCTTGAACTTTGTCTCTATCTCTGCCCAGCTCCCTTATGTTAAGATCTACCTTCAGTATTCTGCCTTCTATCTCAATTCCTGGTTCCAGCCCCTGAGTCCCTCCCCAAACAGATCTGAGCTGAGAAAAAGACATCACTACTCACCTCCCCAGTTCCTATTTTGACTTCTACAAAAGAAAGCAATTCAGCGGTTAGAGCGTCGGCCTGCGGTCCTGAGAGACCCGGGTTCGGTTCCCGCTAAGGGCGCGTACCTCGGTTGCAGTTTGTCCCCGGCCCTGGTTGGTCGTGCGGGTGGCAGCCACTCGATGTGTTCCTTTCGCATCGATGTTTCTCTCTCTCTCTCTGTTCCTCTCTCTCCCTCCCACTCTAACTGAAAAATGTCCTCGGGTGAGGATAAAAAAAAAAAAAAAAAAAAAGAAAGCAATTCTCTCCCTTCCCACTCATGCTTCAATTCAGTAGCTCAATTATCAACCACATCTCCAAATGCCCTACAACCCACAGTAGTGTTTTTTCACAGTGATAACCCTGAAATAACATACACTTCTAAGTCAATAGTATATGCTATATGCAAAATTTGATCATCACCACTGACTGCTGGGAAATTTACCTAACATTTATTTCCTAACATTTATGTTTCTTTTGAAAACACCCTAAATTGGGGCAAGTGGTTTTAATCTCAAGAAATAGATTAAAATTTAAAGTAAGTTTGTGAGTTAAAAAAGCACATAGATATTAAGGTGTGGAAGCACAGAGAGAGTCTACCAACTACCACTCCACACCAAAGGAGTTATCAATCTTCTCATAAATGTTCTCAAGCTCCCAAGCACAGCTCCCTTGTTTGTGCTCTTCCTATATCATGTGCAAACCTCTATCATAGGTATACCATCACTGAATCATTGTTATTTAACAAGGTTGATCTATTAACCTTTATAGCCTAACAATAAAGCATCCTCTCGATTACTAGAGGACAGCAGGGGGAAGGGAATGTTTTAGACTTCCTTTCATGGAAAGGGGCTTACGAAAATAATTACTTAAAAGTGAGTACCCAAATCAGGATTAAAGAAGAAAATCCTGCAATCTGAAAATCTAGTTCTCACCTTATCATAGGAAGCAGTTGTGAGGTCATCATAGTCAGAAAGCCAGGGGTGAGCCTCAGCATCCCGTTTCGCCATCTCCTCCAACTCTGCCTGCAACTTGTCCCAGAAATCGACATCAGACTGTAAGGAAGGCAGATAGACAAACGGGATACATCATGACCACCCCACCCTACCTTCAGCTCCTCTAGAATGATTCCCAAGGCAGTAGTTCTTAAATTTCAATGTGTTTAGGAGCATCTGAAGAGCTTTTTAAAAATGCATATTCTTAGATCCTACCCCCAGATTCTGATTCAGTCGTCTGAGGTGATGCCAGGAATTGACATTTCTGAGAGGCGCCCACCTCACCACAAGCAATTCTGACACAGATGATCCAAGAACTCTATGTTCATCATCTTTGATGTTAACAAACCCACTCGCTCCAATGGAGTCTTTTCTCATGGGGTATCTGCTCCTGAACTACCTGTTCTCACCTCTATAGCTGACTTGGCTCGTTCAAATTCCATATCAAGGGCAGATGTGTTTACTGGTCTTGTGAACTGGTCAACCCAGGCATCTGATGTACCCTGTGACAAAGAAGGATGGTCATACCACCAACAACAACTTTCTACCCACTAAATACCAACTACATACTCACTGAACACCACCAACCTGGACACTTCTGAGAACATTCTCAGAATCCTTTTCCCACCCACTCGGACCTGGATGCTACCAAGATAAGCTGGTAATAAAATCCCTTCCCCATCTGGGACTGCTGAACACTGAACCCAAGGCCCAGGGCACCAGCTGACTCTGAAGTGGAACTGGAAGGTGACAATGTCCTACCTGCTGCTGTATAAACTCTGCTGCCCACTGTTCTGCCTGAGCTCGGCCCGACCCTGCACCGGACTCCAGGGACACCTGCCCCTCACCAATCTGCCGCACGAATTTCAGGAACTGGGGCACAGAGACACACATAGGCCACTTGGGAGAAAACTTCCAGGTGTGCACTCTCAACCATACCCAAGAGGAGCCTGCACTTACCCCTCCCCCAATATCAGGCTGCAAACAAGATATGCTAAAGACTCTCAAAAATGTAAACAGCAAAAAAGAAAGAGATTTCTGGCTCTAAAGATTTGAGAAGGCACAGAAAAGAGAAAGGGTTAGCAGGCAAGGAAATGAGGGAAAGAATGTTAGAGGAAGAAGCAAGATCCAAAGTCTCCATTCTCCAGACAGGAAGGAATGGACCAAGGATCTCATCTCCTTCTCTTTGAACTGAACTGGGGTAAGAGAAGCAAGACCTTTGACTTCCAAGACCAGCTCTGCTGGGCAAAGTAGCAGTGGGCTGTGGCTCACCTCAGAGTTAGCCAATTTGGGGTCATCTACTTTGGCCACAAAGTCACTGGCAGTGTGCTGCAGATCCTCCTCAGGATGATAGTCATCATACCTGGAACAGGTAAGGACAAACTAATTTTACACATTAGTTAGCCATTACCTTCCCCATGCTATTCTTCACTCCCAGCCCATGGCAATCACAGTTCCTATGGGGGGAAAAAGTGTGACAGCACTCTGTTCTCTTGCTTAGGACGTACAAATTCCAATTTACAATAAAGAAGGACATTTGGGCAGAAGTGGTAAAACACTGTTAAATCCTTTTACCTCTCCCTTTCCCAAACATATCTTTTCAGAGAGGAATAGACAGGCTCCAAATTAAAAAGGAAACCGGGTGCATAAGGTAAAGTTACGAACTTTTGGTTAGGACAGTTAGGATTCTTAGAGATCATACAGGTGAAAACCTTAATGTACAAAATGAAGGGGTTGCAAGTTGGTTTGGGATGTGGATGGAGGAGGGTGAGGAGGCTGGGAAAACTGTCCAGTCCTCCCTCCACAGGGATCCATCCCGGAAGAAGCAGCTGCACTCACCAGGGACCAGTGGCAGCTGTTCCCTCAGGCTCTCCCAGCCACAACTTCTCCTCTGACTGTTCCAGATACTCCTCAGCCCAGCGGGCAGGGGACACAGACAAAGGGTCTGCAAGGAGCAGAGAGTTGGGGAAATCACACAGGATTCAGTAAGTGGACAGGGAAAAAGAGTACTAACTTGACCAAACCAAAGCAGACAAAATCCTAATTTATCCCGCAAAGACCCCGGTCAAAAGAAAATATTACTAAAACTTCAATATCCAACCCACTCTCCTAAGGAGCCTGGAATGGAAATTTACTGAGTTGGGACCAGGAGACCAAATAAAAAGCTCGGGAAAGGAGTAAGGACCAAACCTTTGCTTAAAGTGCCAGAAACCTCAATAAGAAATAGCAGGCTCTAGGGCCTCCATCTTCCTCGAAGGCACTGCTGGGAAGCAGCAAGGATCTAAGGGAGGACCGAAGAGCTTGTGTTCCTTAACCAAATCTCTGGTCTGTTCTCTTCACCCTCCCAATGAAAGGAGCCTCGTATCTCACCTTAATATACCTACCAAAAGAATCTGAGAAGAACACTGAGCTAGAATTAAAGACACATGGTTCTACTCTTCTCACTGGATGGTTTGTTTTTTTTTTTCATTTTTTAATTGAGATGTAAAATATAAACATGAGCCCAGACAGTGTGGCTCAGTGGGTGAGCATTGACCCATGCACCAAGAGGTCGCCAGTTTGATTCCTGGTCAGAGCACATACCCAGGTTGTGGGCCCAATCCCCAGTGTGGGGCATGCAGGAGGCGGCTGATCGATGTTCTCTCTCATCAATGTTTCCAACTCTCTCTCCCTCTCCCTTCCTTTCTCTCTAAAATCAATTAAGGAAAAAAAAATACAAACATGAAAGTTCATCAAGTGTACCAAACTTAAGTACACTGCTTCGTTAATTTCTACATATGAATACACTCAAATCACCACCACCCAGGTAAAGATACAGAATATTTACAGTTCCCTCAAAGGTTCCCTCATGCCTCCATCCCCCAGGGATAAACACTATTCTGACTTCAGTCACTTTTGATTAAGTTTTTAAGTCTAATTCTAGAAACTGTCTTAGTCCTAGTGACAAAGGGCACAGTTGCAACATCCAAATAAACATATCAAGGCAACAGATTGAATGAGGGTACTGAGCTGTTTGTTTCTCAATCTCCAGGACTTTGCTCTTTACTATTCTGAGGCCAGGGGATAAAGGCAAAGAAATATTATTCTAGCCCTGGCCAGTTTGGCTCAGCAGTTAGAGCGTCGGCCTGCGGTCCAGAGAGACCCAGGTTCGGTTCCCGCTAAGGGCATGTACCTCGGTTGCAGTTTGTCCCCGGCCCTGGTTGGTAGTGCAGGTGGCAGCCACTCGATGTGTCCCTTTCACATCCATGTTTCCCTCTCTCTCTCTTCTTCTCTCTCCCTCCCACTCTATCTGACCAAAAAAGTGGAAAAATGTCCTCGGGTGAGGATTAAAAAAAAAAAAAATTTTTAAAGAGAAAAATTATTCTAAGGAGCCCTAAAGATAATGTGTAAACAAAGAGAAGGCATGGGCCTGCAGTATTCTGCTCTGCGTCCATATCTTTCCAAACCCGATACTAGGACCGATATCCTGTCTTTGTGTCCAGTTTGAAGATCTGTCACTGCTTTTAATATTGAGGAGTATTACCATTTAGCAGAACTTTATATTCCATTTAACTGAGACTTTGCCTGAATAATTTCAACAAAATAATCTCAAAATCTGAGAAAGTAATGTCAAAATCTAAAAATATAAAGAATCAAGACTCTCAGAATATACCTAATTATAAATAGTATATTACTAATATAATAAAAGATACAGTTGACAATTTTTTGATTATGGACTCTGTCTCTTAACTTCACAGATTCCCAACATTTATATCCAGAATTCCCTCACTAGCTCTCACAGGCAGCGTTTATTTTTCCATTGCCCCAACTAGACTGATGGCTCAACAGTCGAGACCTAATAAGGAAATGCTAAAACACGTAAGACTTTATAATACTTCCCAGTTCCTTTGTCCCATTCTGTTGAAAAATAACCAGTCCCTCCTCCTTACTCTCAACTAGAGTGTTTTACAAAAGCATACTCAGGCCACAAGTGCTCCTTATTGAAAAGACAGTTCCTCAGAAATGCTCCTCTCAAAGACAAGAAGCAACAGAATAAAATACAAAGCACCTGGACTATAAAACAGACATGAGATAACTTAAAAGAAAACCCCTCTAGCGGGGAAAAAAGGAGAAATATCTGTAACAAAAATAAATTAATAAAAATTGGAAGAAAAAAAAAAGAAAATCCCAGAGGTGAGAAAAGACTTCCTCAAATATCTATAATTTGATATTTGGCCATATTAGCCACAAGAATCAGAATTTTCTGGCATTAGAAACCTGCTCCAACAAAGGAATCAAAATAAAATTACCAAAACATACCTTCGCCTTCACAATATTTTTTGAGAAATTCTTACAGAAAATCAGACCCATTTGAACACCTCTGAGATTGAAGCAACTCAGATGGAAAGCCTACAGATGAAAAAGGAATGTCCTAGGTCACATTGATTAGTAGAGTTAAAACCAACAACCTAGCCCGGCCCGTGTGGCTCAGTGGTTGAGCAATGACCCATGCACCAAGAGGTCGCCAGTTTGAGTCCCAGTCAGGGCACATGCCTAGGTTATGGGCCAAATCCCCAGTGAAGGGCATGCAGGGGGCAGCCGATCGATGTTCTCTCTCATGGATGTTTCTCTCTCTCTCCCCCTCTCCCTTCCCTTCTCTCTAAAATCAATAAAGAAAAAAAAAGGTTTTTTAAACAAATAAAAAATAAAACCAACACCTAGATATCAAATATCCAATTCAGAATGTTCATCTCTTTCAATTTCTCATTATGTGTTCATTCCATCTAGGCAGATCTACTCCAAACTCAGAACTTCCTACCCTTATCCACCAAAGTTTCTGTGTTTGCTAAATAAAACAGTAGTAAAGAATGTAGGTTCTAGAGTCAGCCTACCTGCACTCAAATCCCAACTCCACAATTTATTCACCATGCATCTTCAAATTACTTAACCTTCCAAGTTTCTGTTTCCTGATCTATAAAATAGAAACAATAGCTATCTTATAGGCATTGTTAAAAAAGACCAAATGAGCCCTGGCCGGTTTGGCTCAGCAGTTAGAGCATCAGCCCGCAGACCAAAGAGTCGAGTATTCGATTCCTGGTCAATGGCATGCATCTCAATTTCAGGTATGATCCCCGGTCCCAGTCGGGGTCGTGTGGGAGGCAACCAATCAATGTGTCTTTCACAGGATGTTTCTCTTTCTCTCTCTCTACCCCCCCCCCCCCAACCACCACCACCACCACCCATCTAAAAAAAAAAAAAAAAAAAACAATGGAAAAAATATCCTCAGGTGAGGATTTTAAAAAGACCAAATGAGATAATGCATACATAAAACACAAAGTAACAAATATTAGCTATTTCTGTTATAGCTGTCTGCTCATGGCAAACTCACACCAAAAGTAGGAAACATCACAATAAGATTGTTATTCCTTTTATTCCATAGCCTCTTCCTCTGCCATCCAGGGGAGATCTACGGCAATCATCTTCTGCTACTGCTGCCCATTGCTTTTCCTATGAAAGTAGAGGTTTATCTCTCATGATTATCATTGAACCTCACATACCAGGTTAGCTGAGGCTGTTTAAATTCAAAACTCCTTAAAGATGTGTTTCATTCCTAGAGCTGAGCAGTCATGAGATGGAGAATTATTGGCCGCAGAAAATTAGGGTCAGGAGGCAAATTCCATCAAAAAATATAGCAGACTGCCCTGGCCGGTTTGGCTCAACGGTTAGAGCGTCGGCCTGCAGTCCAGAGAGACCCGGGTTTGGTTCTCTTAAGGGCACGTATCTCAGTTGCAGTTTGTCCCCAGCCCTGGTTGGGTTGTTCGGGTGGCAGCCACTCGATGTGTCCCTTTCACATAGATGTTTCTCTCTCTCTCTCTCTCTCTCTGTTCCTCTCCCTCCCTCCCACTCTACCTGAACAAAAAATGGAAAAATGTCCTCAGGTGAGGATAAAAAAAAAAAAAAAGAAAATAAGAAGTTAAAGAATATACCCCTCTCTCATCTCAGTCTACTTATCCATAAAGTAATAGGTAATCTATATCATCAATATAATCATATCGCCCACAAATGTTATAATAAAAATTAATTAGAAAATCAATTTCCTTTCATTCTTTCTCCTAGATCTCATTTCATTCACCAAATAATGGAAATCCACTACATACAAAGCAATATACTGTTGCAATAAGACATGTTTATGAAGGCAGACTCCAAATAGCTCAACTTCTCTTTCCAGCTTCCCGTGTCCCTGCCTCTGTGAAGCAGGCATGGTTACAAAAGAATGTATAAAAAAAGAAGAGCCCTGGTTGGTTTGGCTCAGTGGTTACAGAATTGGCCCGCAGACCAGAGAGGCCTGGGTTCGGTTCCCGCTATGGCCACGTACCTCAATTGCAGTTTGTCCCCGGCCCCAATTGGGGTCATGTGGGTGGCAACCACTCGATGTGTCTCTCTCACATCGATGTTTCTCTCTCTCTCTTCCACCCTCTCTCCCTCCCGCTCTTTCTGAAGATGAATGCAAAAATGTCCTCACGAGTATTAAAAAAAAAAAAAAATTAAAGAAGAAGAAGAGCCCTGGCCTGTTTGGCTCAGCGGTTAAGATTCCTGCTAAGGGCACGTACCTCAGTTGCAATTTGTCCCTGGTCCCAGTTGGGGTCATGTGGGTGGCAACCAGTCAATGTGTCTCTCTCACATCAATATTTTTCTCTCTCTCTTCCTCCCTCTCTCCCTCCTGCTCTATCTGAAAATAAATGCAAGAATGTCCTTGGGTGAGGATAAAAAAAAAAAGAAGAAAAGAGAGGTCTTCCAAAGAAGATTTAACAGATTTAAGGTAAGACAGGTTCAGTATGTTTCTGTAAAGTTGTTTTTCATTTACAGGCTAAGGAAGATTTCAGTGGCTGCAAACAATTCAGGTAATTGTAACAAAAATCTCATCAGGCTCAATGCTTATAGCAGCAATGATTTTTTTTGAGTTGTGAAAAATGACTGATGCCAACACATTACAATAGAAGTCTCTCAGTAATAAAAGACAGCACTTATGTCTAAGGGTTCATATGAAACACTGAGTTTCAGTCTAGTGGAGGGTCTCTGTTACAGCTCAGATTTCTCAATGACAGTGTAATGGTTCTAAGTATGGAGCCTAGAGTCAAACAGACATGAGTTCAAATATCATCTGTTACTGAATGACTTTGGACAGAGTATTTAACCTTTCCAAATCTTAGTTTATTTATCCATAAAATGGGGGTAGGAATACCTATTTTGTAAGTGTTACTGTAAAAATCAAATGGGTTTAAGAATATAACATGTATAGCACTATTAATGAAACCATGAGCACCTACTGTTTACCTTAAACTCCAATTTAAGGGTGGGAAAGGAAGTCATGATAAGAGACCATTAGTTTTTTTTTTTAAACTGATTTTTTTTTTTTAGAGAGAGGGAAACATCAGTGAGAGAGAAACATGGATCAGCTGCCTCCTGCACGCCCCCTACTGGGAATCGAGCCCACAACCCTGGTATAAGCCCTGACTGGGAATCGAACCCACAACCTCAGTGCATGAGAGGATGCTCAACCAACTGAGCCACACCAACCAGGGCTAGACCATTCGCTTTAATTAAAGATGACTTTTAGCTGTTAGATTTTGGAGTTTTCCCTTGTGTGTGGAGGAAACCCTATCTTTAGGAGAATAAAAATTATGGGGGGAGGAATCAATTAGGTCCCATTAATCATCTCAGAAAAATTCAGGAACTATGATGATGTGAGTCTAGAATTTTTGCAACTTTCCATTTGAATTTCTCATTATTCTTGATTCCTTAAATTGGAAAAAGGCTAACAATGCTTCTCTCTAAGAGCAATCAGTACAGAGGAAAACTGAAGAGAATGCCTTTCTTCTATGCCCCTAATCAGACAGGCTTAGGGGGAGAAAAATCAATCTCAAAGGATGCAGTGAGCATAGCTGCTCTCAAAGAGGGAAAATTTAGCTGAGACCCCGAAATGCTGAAGCTGTAGGCCTGGCAGTACTACTGTATAATGGTTAAACCCACAGGGTCTGGAATCATTCAAACCCAAAGTCAAATCCCAAATCCACCACTCACAAAGCTGTGTCACCTTAGGCAAAGTTTTCTATCTATAAACTAGGAATAAAAACAGTAACTATCTCAAGGGTTCTTATGTGGATTAAAAAGGTAATGCATTTAAAGCACTTAACACAACGCCTTTAAAACGTGGTAAATAAACATTGGCTATTATTAATTTTTATTATTATCATCAGGGTATGGTCTTTAACCTCCAAGATCTTATACTTCAGCCCTTGAACTCAACAATTTCACTCTACAAGGCCCAATCCTATTAAAGATGACTTAATGCCAGAATCCCACAGATTATGTTAAATCTCTCTTCACTGCAATCCATCCAATCTCTCCACCAAAGTTCCAGGTAACAAAGAAGTAAACATAACCCTTCCTCCCTCCCTCCCTCCCTTCCTTTCTTCCTTCCTTCCTTTCTTCTTTCCTTCCTCCTTCCCTTCCCTTTCTTTCTTTCTTTTTCTGCCCCCCCCTCTCTCTCCTCATCTTTCTCATCTCTTATCCAGTTCAAACCCAGTCATCTGTTTAATATAAATTTCAATTCCCTATTATCATCACCTAAGGGAAATCAGGTTCAGTGCCCCCATAGAAATGAGTCAAGAATCCAAAAAAGTAATAAGCAGCTGAAATCACTATATACCTTTACATGAATTAGGGTAACAGGGTAAAACACTAATTGCCCCATAGGAACCATTTTAGATTTCCCATGATGAGCCTCACCTGTAACTTCAGAAATGAATTCTTGGGACCAGTCAGTTTCATTATAATCCTGAGTTACATCCACAGCATCTCCAGCTGCAAGAAACTCCTGGGCCCAGTTCTCAGACAAGGCCAAGTCTGCCACACCAGGTGCTTAAGAGAGAAAAGGAGAGAACTAAGAAACAAAAGAAATATATATCATTCTAGCATGCCTAAGGAACCCTGAGTGCACATGAAAACACTGTTCCTTTTTTCTCCTTCTGCATCTCAGTTTCCAAGTGCCAGCAGCGTCCAAATATGGAACCCCCTTGGCTCTATCTGCACAGAAAATGGTGATCTCTCCTCCCACCAGACTCTGGACTCACCTCTCTGGGGTGCCTGGCGGAAGCTTGACTGTTCAATCTCCTGCATCTCTGCCAGGAGGTCATCCATCTTGAAGGTCTGAGGGGCACGGGATACAAGTGGTTCATTCTGGTCCTGGAGGAATTCGGCCACCAACTGTCAGAAGAGAGATGGTGAGATGAACCCAGCAAGAGACAGGCCCATTGGATGGGGGTTACTAATGTCAAATAGAAGAAAAGGAAAACACAAAAACTATAGATTTGGAAATACTCAAGAAATACATTTTTAAAATACAGGAGGTCCAAGGCAAATTTCATTTAGTCAGGAAAGTCCAAAGATTGAAATACGTGTGAGCCAAGTTTAAAGTAAAAACACAACTGGAAAAAGAAAAATGCAACAGAAGAGACTGGTATATTTACCTCATCTTCAGAGGCTACCCCCAAAGGTTTAGCGACCTAAGACAGAAGGGAGAGAATATGGTACAGTGGTGAAGACCAGATACACAAACTAAGTTAAACATGAGTTACAATTCCAGTTCTGCCATTTATATGACCTCGGGCAAATCACAAAACCTCTCTGAGCCTCCATTTCTTCATCTATAAAACGACTGCCTTCATTAATGTAAAAATTCATAGTATTTAGTATACTATTTAGTAAACACTTATTAAGTGGTAACTATTATTTGTAACACAATAGAGCAGTGATTTTCAATCTCTTTTATCTCATGGCACATATAACTAATTACTAAAATTCTGTGGCACACCAAAAAATATATTTGTTGATGTTCTGACAAAAAAAAAAAATAGGTATAACTCTGATTCATCCAGAGCAGACAGCTATTGTTGTTTTGGCTGTTGTCATTTTTTTTTTTCTGACAACCTAAGGGAAAAGAGATCAGTGCCCCTGACTAAAGAGTCAGGTATTGGCTGTTTAAAAATTCTTGCAGCACACCAGTTGAAAATCGCTGCAATAGAGAAAGCAGTTAAATGTACATAGGTACCTTCCATCCCAAGGCACTACTTGGGCTTTCCACCTGAAAAACACTCACCGCCTCGGGGGCCGGGGTTCCTGGTGGCCAGGGACCAGGCCTTAAACCCTCCTGCCGAAGTGCCTTGTCCTGGGTGAAGTGCCCGGCCAGCTTCATGAGCGGGTTGGCACCCCCGCATTCGGCCTCCACCAGCTCCCGCATTGCCATGGTGACCGCCAGCTCTCTGAGGGCAGGGAAGGTTAGGTACTGAGGTCCGGTAGTCAAACCCAACCCACAACTCAGCCCGTATCTGGGGGAGGCAGACAGACGTCTGTCTCAGGTTAGCCACTGGACAGTCTCCACCCCGCGCCTTCTGCTGTAGCCCCCACCTGTCAGGAGTCCGAGATGGGACAGCTGCCCTCCCGCCGCCGCCCCCCACCAAGGGCCAGTTTTCAGCCAGCCCCCACCCCCCCAGCGGCCTCCACGACTGCAGTCTCAGGCGGCGGGACTAGCTGGCAGGCAACCATCAGAGAGGCCTGGACCCCAGGAGACTACGGGGGTACAATTCCGCAACTGGGCTTTACCAGGGCATTGGCAGAGCAGAGTGGGAACGCCGCTGACCGTAACGCCAGTCCCACACATTCCACGGTGCCCGGCGAGCATCGCGGGGGGACCATGGCCTCCCCTGTCACCTGAGCCCCTCCCCCAGCCCCGCCAAGCCAGGCCCACCCCTCCAGCGCTCCGGACCACCCCACCTCCCCCGCCCCAGCCGCAGCTCCAGCCCCGACCCGGGGACCCGGGAGGACACCGCAAGGACGAGGAAATCTCGGTGAACGTGTCCTCGGGTCCCCTCGGCCCTGCGCTCACCGTCGCGCGCCACGCTACACGACCCGCAGGGGCACCAGGTGTGGGCCCGAGTGGGAAAGGAAAAGATGGGGCGGGGAACCAGGGGCGGGGCTCAGGCTTAAAGGGGCCGTGACCGCCGCGCGGCGGTCGCAGCCTCCCAGTAGCTGTTTTAAGGGGCGGGGCCTTGAGACTGCGACGCAGCGTAACGGGAGGAGCCGTAAGCCTTAAAGGGGAAGAGCGCCTTAAAGGGGAAGTCTTGAACAGCTCTTGGAGCTCTTAAAAGGATCTCGGACTCCAGGACTTGTTTGAAAGGAAGCTCAAAGAAGAGTGGAGCTAGGAGGGGCTTTCTTAGCTTTGGTAAAAGCCGATGGCGCGAAACCCTGGGCTCAGTTCATTCTGGCTCTTCCCTGGGGGCGCACTGTGTAACGCGGGAGTTGCGAGGTTCAAAGCCGGGGCCTTCCCTGGCCTTCTAGGCCTGCCCCCTTCTAAATTGCCCCTAACGGCCCATGTCACAGTTTCCATGGAGACAGGGGCCTTTCCCCAAACCCTCTGCTACCTCTGCGTAGTGGGGAAAATAGCACTGGATGATGACAAATTTCAGAGACTAAAATAGGGTCCAACGCATCCTGAGACCTCAAGCTGGTAACCTACAGGAAAGGTATACAGTGAGTCACTCCTCTTCCCTCCTTCCTCCTTGGCCACTGGTCAAGGTCACCATGGTGGGCTTATTCCCAGTGCTCCAAACTGGGAAAGCACAGATATGATTCAAGAAAGGATATTAAATCACGGATTAAGCCTCAGAACCCACCTGCCACAGGATTGGCTCTGGTGTCAAACTTAAAGGTCCCTGAGAAACCCTGAAATCTCACCTGGCTCCAAGACTAAGGGAGTCCTGATATCATGAAGAAGGGCAGGAGGTGCTCAGGGCTGCTGGTAGATGAGCAGGAATGGGTTAATGCCAACAAAAGTCCCAGTCCAGCCCAGGGTGCAGGAGAGGAGACAGGTAGACAGCAGGTGGCACCCTGAGCCAGGCATGTTTTCAGGCTGTCCTGCAGATTTCAAAGGTGGAGGATCCAGGGGACCAGAGCAGCATAGCTGTGTAAACTTATTCCTGAAAAGGTAGAGAAACTGCTCTGATATATCAGGGGAACTGAATGGCAGGACAGACCTGAAGATTGTACAAAATTTCTCTTTTTCTTACCTTTTCACCTTCTTTCAGAGGCCCTAACCCAAAACCTTTTTCCCCTGGTACACAAATCCCAGCCCTTGCTTGTTCACTGTTCTCAAGTTACCATTGTAAAGCAGATACCTAGTACCTAACAAGCTAAACCAAGCCAAGAAGGAAGGGATACTCTCTGGAAAGTGTATACTTTAAAAAAGAGGATCTCGCCCTGGCCGGTTTGGCTCAGCGGTTAGAGCGTCGGCCTGCGGTCCTGAGAGACCGGGGTTCGGTTCCTGCTAAAGGCGCGTGCCTCGGTTGCAGTTTGTCCCCGGCCCTGGTTGGTCGTGCGGGTGGCAGCCACTCGATGTGTTCCTTTCACATCGATGTTTCTCTCTCTCTCTCTGTTCCTCTCTCTCCCTCCCACTCTGCCTGAACAAAAAGTGGAAAAATGTCCTCGGGTGAGGATAAAAAAAAGGATCTCTGGAGAGAGCAACATTTAACCGAAAGTGTTGATGTGGTAGAATTTCAAAATCAAGGCAACTAGAGATTTCTTCCCAATGCCACCCAAACCACACATATAATCTGCTCTGCTAGGAGATTAGTAACAGATCAGCAATAACTCACTACATGGCCAGCTCTTTGGGAGATGATAATAATTAATGTTTATTGAATGCTTACTAAAATCTAGGAATTGCTCTGAGCACTTTAGTTTCATTAGTGCTTGTAATCTTCATAATACCCCTATGAAATTGGTATTATTAACCCTACTTTACAGATAAACCATCCAAAATCACACAACTAGGAAGTCAAAATTTAATTCAGACATAACTCCGAATATCTACCCATTATGTACCACTGCCTTGCAGTCTTAGAGAAACCTTGCTTATAAGCCATGTAGAGCTTTAGTCTCTAGCCATAGAATTCGTCACATAAACCTGGCCCACAAGTCCAACATAGCCAGCCTATGGTGCTAAGGAAGAACTAATCGAGTTACTTGGGTTTAATATTTAGTTTATTAAAGTTCTATATTTAAAATCCTAGATTTTGTTAATCCAGGTTCGACTTTAAATTCTATTCACAAAAGTTGTAATTTTTATTAAATGAAAATAATCATTTTTATTTATGCTTTGTGAATTATAGATCTGCAGGAAAGAGGTTGTGTAACTGTGCAGCCAAAGCCCATAGTGGAGACTTAGACGTAACTAGAGAAAAAGAGTAATGGAGGACATATCCGTTTCAGTGTCAGGCTATGCCCACGACTATGAAATTAAACTGAATTGAGAATATGATTCTCCAATCAAGAGGTTTGATGTTGTGTAATCCTCACATTCCATTGGCTAATGCTCAGTCATTTGGCCATCTTAATAGCAGAGGAGGCTGGCAAATGTAATTTAGCTTTACACCCATGCTGAGCTGGACCAAGATTTGGTGAGCAGCTGGGGATCTCTACAACAGTTCACCCTCTGGTCACCAGTGCCAGGCTGTGCCAATGACTTTGAAATTAAACTCCATTGATAGGACTTTTTAGTCAAGAGGTTTGTGTAGCTATTTTAATCCTCCAGTTTTCAATTGTTCTATCATGGCCTCTACTGCAGCTTTGAGGGGCCACCTCCCAGTTGTGTCCTGGGTCGGAGTTCCCTTATTGTATTGCCAGTCTTCTCTGGGCCATGTCTTCTCCATCTCAGATTTGTTTAGATCCATCCATCACTCTTTCTGATCCAACAACTGATACAAGATCCACAAACACCCCATCACTGTGACTATTTTTAATATATAATGTGTGTGGAAAAGACTATTTCCAGTTACCTGGGTTTACATTAGTATTTAATTTACTAAAATTACAAGTATAAAATCTAGTTTTACTTATGCCTTTAAATTCAACTTATAAATCCTGCAGTTCTATTTATAAATGTACTAATTTTTTAAATTACTTCTACTTTTTCTTTGATTGATGTTTAACTCCACTTAAACAGATTTAAATTTTTTTAGCAATTAATCTCATCTACAGACTTAGTAAAATTTCCATAACTGTTTTAGATCATATTCATATGCTTAATGTATTTGGTTTATTTTCCTCAAACATTTCAAAAGATCCTCACATGAAAAATCTTTCTTATAACATGAGCAACTCTTGTAAATATAATTACTTGATTTACCATGTTCAGATGTTTGATTTATCTTAAATGTTCTAATAATGTGTATAAGCTTTAGCAGTCTTATACCTTTCAACTAAAAAAATCATAACTCTAAAATCAACAGATATTTCAAGTGAAAATACAAAGCTTAATTTAACTTAAATTCACACAGATTCTTAAACTTATCTTAAACTTAGCCCTGGCCAGTTTGGCTCAGCGGTAGAGTGTCGGCCTGCAGACCAAAGAGTTAAGGATTCGATTCCGGTCAACGGCACGTACCTTGGTTGCAGTTCAGTCCCCTGCCCTGGTCAGGGTCATGCAGGAGGCACCCAATCGAACCCAATTGATATGTCCTGCTCACTTTGATGCCCCCCCCCCCCCGCCACTTAATCTGAAGATAAAAATGGAAAAATGTATCCTTGGGTAAGGATTAAAAAAAAAAAAACTTATCTTAACTAAACTTAACATAAAAATATTATGATTTAGCCCTGGCCAGTTTTGCTCAGTGGTTAGAGCGTCAACCTACGGACCAGAGAGTCCTGGGTGTGGTTCCCACAAAGGGCACATACCTCGGTTGCAGTTTGTCCCCGGCCCCAGTTGGGGTCGTGTGGGTGGCAACCAGTCGATGTGTCTCTCTCACATCGAGGTTTCTCTCTCTCTCTTCCTCCCTCTCTCCCTCCCGCTCTATGTGAAGATAAATGCAAAAATGTCCTCAGGTAAGGATTAAAAAATATATAAATACTATGATTTACTTCACTGTCTCTATACTAAATTCAACTCCTCCCCAGTAGAGCAGTTTGGCCATCTCAGGAAGGCTGAGGTTATTAGGTGAAAAAAAAATTACTGCTATAATACAGTTAGTTGTCAGATTGAAGAATAGAACTGGAGAGCTCGGACCTGTGGGGCTATGTGCTGCCAGGGTAATTCTCACCAATGAACACACTGAGCATTCTCCTGGTGGAGTTGGAGTTACTTACCTCTGCTGGCTGCAAGGTGGGGCTTTCAGCTGGACCACTTCATAATTCACATGTGCAGGGCATCTTTCTCGTTCCACCTAATCCCATCCTGGGTAGGTGGACTGCTACTGCGCCCCCACCTCAATCTCAGCAAATTTCCCACACCAAGGAGGTCCTGCATTTGTTCTATATGTTTCTTGTGTTACCTGATTCTCTAACCAGGTCAATGTCCTTTCTTTTCTAATCCTCTAATTAAGAGTCATCAGACCCACATAAAGCTTTTTTTCCCTTTTATACCTGCCTGGTCTCTGAGACCTCATGTTACTTTCATGTGTGTCTAGCCTGTCTTCAAAGACCGTAAACCTTTCTTCCAGTGAAATCTCTCTCTTTCTCCAGCTTAACTAGCCTTTTATTTTTTTCTTTCAATTTCTACCTCTCTGGTTCTAAGAGTAAGACCAAATCCATTGTTGTTATTGCTTCTAAGCAGTTCTCCATTCACTCTTTGAGCAAACATGATTCTTACAGTCAGAATGTTTTAGACATGAGCCTTTTCAGTTGCCCTCTTGAGACTTTGGGTTTGCAGTAAGTTCAATTATTTTTCTTTCTTAATAAGAAAATTATATATTCTCTATAGAGATCCCCACTCCTTTTGATCTCTTCATTGGAAGAAAAATATACCACTCTTGGTTACTAAAGCCACATTGATGTTTAACTCCACTTAAATAGATTAAAATTTCCTTAACAATTAGTCTCCTCTACAGACTTAGTAAAATTTCCATAACTGTTTTAGATCATATTTAGATCTGGGT